ACTACTTCTTCGGTTTCCATGGCTACCGAGCCTGTGGCTGGTACAGGCTCGCAAAAGGCATCGAAGCAGCAGTAATAGTTTCCTCTAGCTCACTCTAAAAAGAAGTAAGAAAAAAAACGTGTTCGACGCTCTAGTCATACAAATAAACTATTGAAAGAAATTGGTGAACTTAAGAAACATGTTATCACATCTAATAACTATGATAAAGTATATCGTGAAGATGAATCTAACATTTCTGGGGTCAGTGGAGACCTTTATTGTAATCTTACGGATACTTATGAACACTATTTCGATGATGAAAATTCAAATGATAACTTCATTTTTAATATCGAAACGAAATTAAAGGAACCTCCTGTCTTATAACACCAGAAAACTTTTTTAAATGTTAAATGACGTTCCGCGCTTCAACTGTACCTCATGGTCAGAAGTAAGTTACGCTGATACACAGAAACTATATACTCATACTCCAGGTTTCATTGACTTTGAAGCAAACGAAGAGGTAAAAATATACAACACCTTACGTTATTTGTTTTATGCCGATAAAGTATATGCAAAAAGAAGCATTACAAGAAGGTTTCCGTAATCTTCTTTCATGGGCTAACAACAGAGAGATTAGTAACGATAACTTAAGTCTTAAGATGGGCGAGATATTTCAAAAAAGGGGAGTTTCATAAAATCTCTTCAGATTTATTACAGTTAGTTTGTGGCCATCGTGGCGAAGTGATTGAAATGCGCCGTGAAAAGATTACCAAATCAAATCAATATAAGCACCGTTCCTCGCGGGGACGATGCGCACGAAAACCATCATGTGATTCCATCCATCCAACATGAAACTTCATATACTTTATCTTATCTATCACATGAAGTGGATATGCCAATGCGCACGCATACCGATAACAGCCAACCTTGGCGAGGTGGCGACCATAAATTCAAATATCAATCCAGAGGCCAGCACTCAAAGTATCAGTACGACAACCACAATATTAATGGAAGGGATTCATTTCAAAACCGATGCTTGCAACCCGATTTTCAAGAATCTTAAATGCTGCGAGAGTGTTCAAAGGTCTTAAGCAATGACTCGACACCGTTTCGAACAGGTCAGCTAGTTCTCTATCTGATTCATTGGAAGGAAATGGTAGCACCAGAAATTATAATAAAATTGATTCAAGTGTATACATATGTATATATATACCTTTCTTTCAAAAACCTCCGCTTGTTTACCCGAATCATATAAAAAATCCTTTTCAAACTGCTGACTCAGAGGCTATGTCAGGAATTGTACAAAAGATGAAGAAACAGGGTATTTAAAAAGTTGCTCCAAATGCACCAATCTTTATTTCCCCTCTATTTCTGGTGGTAAAATCCGACGGCTCTTCTGCCGATATTCAACCTCAGGGCGCTCAACGAGTGTGAGAGAGTGAACGAGAAGACAAATTGCATAATGTGTAGACATGCCCGGTTCCTCACGACTTATTCCTTCACCGCCGAATATGTAGTAAATGAACACTTAATAGAAATTAACAGTTTCACATTGGTTTCACAGAATTTGGCGGAGATCGAACAAGTCGCTCGCTCGTTACTATATTAAAGTAATTTACAAGGTTTTACTTAAATAAGGATAAGACATGAATAATGAATACACGTTTTATTTATTATGTTCCGATAACCTTAAATAGATTTCAGACGGCAAGATATAATTTTTCTTTACTACCACGGCCTATGCAAGATTAAAAAACCCCACATCAGAGGACGAGGATTGACATCCAAGGTGGGAGGCGACGTAATATATATGTTGAAATTGACACTTGTTTGCCGAGACTCGTCTTCTTTTTCTTCGGACTTCTTTTCATCTTTTTGTACAGATCATAACTCCATCTTGTTAGGAAGCGTCCCACACTACGTTTGCGAGGTTTCCATTCTATATTACTTATAGTTGGCTGGCAGGATTCACTAAGTGGCGAGTCTTAGGAGATGTGCCTATGCCTAGTTATGGACAGCATATGTCTAGTTAATTATAATGATAATCTCAGAGTAGCTTAAGTTTTCCGTCTACAGATAGCTAAAACGGATGGTGAAGATGATTTTTGTACAGACTACGTCCAGTTAAAAGTTCCAGTTAGCCTGACCACGATTAACGGATGTCATTATCAAATAAGATCGCAATTATTGGTTAACGGGGACCCATATCGGACCAGGAATGGCAAAGCCAGTACAATAATATGCATATCAATTCAATTAAATCTTATAAGGTATCGGTATGTGTTCACATCGCATTTTTAAAGCGGCGAAGAGGAGACGAGGTCAAACTGCTCTCCCACGCAGTGATTCAGCGGTTACTTAGTTATTTAAGTATTTTGTTATGTATCTAAGGAAGAAATACTATATTTGTTAGTCATAGTATTACTGATTTAAAGATACATCATCCACCCATTACAGCCTATAAAAGTCCTTCCGTATATTATGCCCCAAATTATGACTTTAAGCCACCTACCTTAAGCTAGGCCTATAAACTGGGTTATAAAACTAAAACTAGATGTAAGACAAAGACAAAATTACATAGTCATATACTATAACTTATTTATTGAGAAAAACGAACAAACAAGACTTGTCAATAACTAAAAGACACTTCGAAAAACCAACTTAAAAAAAACATTGGGTATGTTCCAAAACGTTTCCAGTATACTGGCAAATGCAAATGACTTCATTAATTGACTGCGTATTCTACCATTTTCGATACAACGAATCACCAATACGGCGTCGATTTATGACGTCATTTGCATTGGCCAGTGTACTGGGTTGTATTTCGGAACATACCCCATATACTGTACTTTCAACTGTCAAAATGGCGTCGATAAAGCAGCGCCATTTTGACCTTATATTATTTTATTGGCTTATAAAGAGCTATCGTATCACAGAACCATTATGTTAAGAAGGCTGTAGTTTTTAAGTTATAAGAAAGTGACCATATTAACCAAAAGACCATATCACCCTCAAGTTCGCTAGTTGCCACGCTTGGCAGGCTGGTAGGCAACCAAATTTTCACTCCGTCGCCTTTTAAGACACACACGGAACGATATAAGGAAGTGGATATTCCTTAACAGCTTTAAAAGATACTTTGAATTGTGGAGTGGCGTTACGAATACGATAGAATACGGTAGTGTAGTAGATTTAATCTCCCAAATCAAAATCGCCCAAAATCATGTAATCTAATAGATTACATGATTTGATGATTTTGATTTTGGGCCGATTTTTCAAACCTTTGTTAAAATTTATTCATACGAAGAAATACAACACATAAAAATTAAAAATAACATTTGTGCGAATAGAATAGCTCATTTCTTTCACATTTATATGCAGTCAAGTTATAATTCATTGATGGATAAGTTATTTAGGCGAGCGCTTAGCCCCTAAGTTACCACTGCTATAAAATAAAATAAAATAGATGTGCAATTCGTAACATCGTTCTTTTCACCATTTTATGAACTATGTACTTCATAAAATTATTTATTTAAAACAACGCATCTACAGTGTTTGGTTTGTCTGCAGCTGTCCAAGGACTGCACTAGCAACTTAAGTACCATCAGGAACCAGAATCCCGAAACTTGTTAGGTTCAATGTTTCAACACCATTTATTAAATGTTTAAATATAACAATAATTATTTGTCACCTCTGATGTACCGTGTTTAAGCGAATAAATGATTATTATAAAAAACAGTATAACAAAAGGTTAATTAACTTTTAAGCTATTTGGAAGTCCTGTTTGTACGTCAGTAAACTTCTTCGTTTCGTAGCTCGAGAGTAACTGATTATATCGACAGCAAACCCATTTTTAATGGTTTTATCTTTTTGGCATGAGCTTCAACGTACAATAGCCGAGCGACTTGTAAGAGAAGTTTATTGGGGAATTGATAGGAAATTATAGTAAGTAGTAGATTTTAGTTATGTGGCATGCAAGAGTCGCTGGGGACGTGTCAAATGCGCTGTGATTGGGTATTTCAAGGTTAAACTTAGAATGAACCGAACCATAGTGATGGGACAGGGTTGGGATGTTGATCGAATTTATGATGTTGATCAATTTTTATTTGAAATTTATTAAAAATAACACAATGTATACATATTGGTATATTTAATTGTTAAAATATATATTTCACTGATTTTTAAAATGGGTAAGCTTAGTATAAAATTGTCTCACAGAATTCTTAGAATCTGTGTTTGTGCATAAGTAAAGTAATCTTGTGTCTATGTAGGTATGTATTTTCCATGACACTCTTAGCTAAATTAATGACATGTCAAATCATGAAAAATATCCTCATTAACAAAACTGATTAATGTTTGTGTTACAAAACGGAATTTGTTTTTGTAATATATTTTACAACCTTGATTTTAATCGATTGAGCTTCGAATGACTTGTTCAAATCGTCTGCAAATTTCGATGACCATATTAGACGGGCACAGTAGTCCTCCTGCATCTCTTGCTTATATCGAACTTGTTTTTTTCTCGTCCAGGGGTATTAAAGATTTAACGCACTCATTACATTTGATTTTCTTTATTAAGTAATGTCTGAAAACTGAGACAACGGCTTATGATGTAAGGAATCAATAAAAGTTTCATCAACGCGTTTCGCAGTCTCAAGTACTACTACTATTTCTAACTAATTTTATCATGTGAGCTGGATCGAGAAAGATAGCTATTTCATTAATTTGCCCTTTAAAAACAGTGTTCAAATTGTTCGGACTCGGCTGCGATTTACGCAGCCGAGTTTCTTGACCATTGCTATATTGGCTGGACAGCCATCAAAGGTCACAGCTGTGACTACCAATCCAGCTTCAAAGCATAAGTCAATAGCTTGAGTAAGCAAAAATTATTTTTGGTCAGCTCTCACTTTATTAATAAAAAATACCCAATAGGTACTTTTAATTTACCGTGTAATAAAACAACTAGAAAAAAACTAATGCGTCAGCACATTCTTCTCAGTCAGAATCCCCACTTCCACCGTAATCTACGTAGACATAAGTCTTAAATTTTTGTTTACTAATTTTGCCAATAATGACTTCAAAGAAACTATTTGTCTTTTTAGTCTTCTGTTGGAATCGCTTAACTTTTTAATTTTTTTGTCTTTTTTGTTCACTACGTTGTTTAATTCAATGATTCTTCTACAAAGGTGTTTTTTAACTGGAGTATCAAATGCAGATGGCGTATCAGGAATAGGAGAAAATTTTCTTTTTTGTTTTGTAGGCGTTTCTAAGCAATGGTTCTGATTTTTAGGTGTTGGCGTGTTATTAGCGTCTTTCCGCGGTGAACCAGCAATCTGAAATACGTATTCGTTTCTTTTAAAGTATTACCAATAATTATTCAGATACCTACTTATAAGACGTTTATTATTCATTTATACAAATTATAATCATATCATTAATTCTTATTATAATCATACCGTTTTTTTAAACGATGTGCCGGCCACGGGAATTTCCGTATTTTTAGCTGCAATATCCGCACTTGCACTTATGGTAGGGACGGGTGCCTAAAAGTAATATTATTAATTAATACACCATACCTACGTCCTTAAAATTGAGACGTGCTTAATAATAATAATAAGATATTACTGAAGTTCATGTAACACTAGAATAGCAAGTCAAAACAATAATCACATTACAATTTATACTTGTTTTATGATTTATAAATCCGTTAAAATAGTTTAATTTCGACGTGTAACATTCGCCTAAATATTAGAATATCACGTTTCACTTAACCACTTAATGCTATTACTTATTGTGTAATCTACATAGGTACTAATCTTTAAAAAAAATGTTAAAGTCCATACCAAAACTGGTAAGAAGAGAGATGGTATAGCGGAATCCAACAACCTTCTGCGGTTTTTCATAATATGAAAATTGTCTTCTGTGAAGTGTCTTGAGCATAGTACACTATTTTTGGTGGGAAACCATTCGTCACCTCGACAAGTTGCGTCGATCCACATCTTTTTCCGTTCGGGACATTTAGGAAACCTGTAACATGTAGGTATCACTATGATACGCCACTATTTATAAAATAATGACTTCAAAAAAATGTTAACGATGACCAAGCAAATATCAACTTATAAATCACAACACTATCGATACATGTACTGTCGTTAGACAGAGACAACTCTAATAAGTGAAAGGGACAGGGACATCAACGGCTGCTTAATTATTATCACTTTGCACCATTATTTAACCAGTATAAGTTGAACTCCGGTGCATTTGAAATAGGTTAACGTGATAAGAATAGAATTTACTTACCGATGAAATGTAATGCCATCTTTTTGATAACTGGATGTCTTGGCTGACTTGCCACACCATTTCACTGCACAGGAAGCCATTTGTTATGTATTTTGGATACAAAACTGTTTTTAAATTGTCGAGAACTCGGACTTGCCTACGGATCACAAACTTGGTCAACACCAATGATCTTATATGTAAAAGATAAGATCATTGGTCAACACTGATGTCGTGATTCTTCGTAGCGTCACTTCTAGCTACAGCAAGCACGTGTTTCGCGCGTTTATGGCCCTGTCTGTGATCGAAACACACCCCACCCCAAGTAATAACACTCGCCATCGCCATTGTCAAACATTGAACAAACTAATACAGCGCCATCTCTTACTTATTTTGGAACAAAGGTTACCACACCAGAAGATGGCGCTTTTCAAAGTGACGCCTCCTCATTTCTATTCCAAATTTTAATTTTGAAATGGCTTCCTATTAGTACTATGAAATTTTGTCCAATTTCTCCAAAACGCTTTGCATTACAATTTAATGAAGTTTCTAGATTATTGATTGGTGTAATCAAGTATTCACGCTTAGGTAATTTGAAATAATTACCTATTTAATCACGATCTTATGTAAATTACAAAGTGAAGACCGGGGGCGTGAGAGATGTAAAATTTTACGGTAGCTCAACAGTTTATGGTTAATTATAAACAGGGTTATGATAAATTATTAGTTAATAATCGAATAATCGCAAAGTTTATACGACAGTTTCTGGTGTCCCGATATACGCGGTACATCCCGATTTTCAGGGGACTGGTGACACGTTCCAACCTAACCTCCTTAGTCTGTACTTTGGTCAATAATTTTATTAACAATAAAATATATTTTTATTTTAAAAACTTTATTGCGTTAGTTAGTTTTGCCCAAAAATCTATTTATAAACAAATCCATTATTGAGGGAAAACATTTTATAATTACGGCAAAATTCATAAGTTGAGTGGAAAGTCAGTTATATTTGTTAAAGCACTAGTTTATAAAACAAAACTTGTAATGGTGGAAAAAGTTACCCAATAATGTTCAGACCCAAACATGTCAAAATTGCCCGCAGTAAAAAAATACTAAGGATTTTCATTTGTTTTATATTTTTAGATTGAATTTTTCGTTTAAAAATTATTTGTTCATTTTACCTATTTTTCTAAGAACTAACTCTAAGAATTGAACTCGTTTTTTGATGATTACACTCATATCAGATGTACTGATATTTTTTTTCATATCAGATGTACTGACTTAAATTTCGAGATTGATATTCTATAGTCCGATCAAATTAGACCAGAAAATAAGAATGAAGATATATATAAAGTCACAAAAAGCTGATAATCAGTGTGTGTTCCCCATCATTCCTGTTTATGGAAAAAAATTACTCAAGGACAAAGGTTAAAAAAATTAGTTTTTCGCGATTTTCAGCAAAACGGTTCAGGAATAGTGGGGAAAATTTTCAATATTTTATTTATAATTATATTTTGAGCAATTTTTGGGGATTATCAGCTTGTTGTAACTTTATATATCACCGAATATCTAGATTGACCGGACTACTGATTTAGAAGTACTTATGGGCTTTCATCACATGCATTTTATTATGATTGGTCGACTAGTCTTGAACTGGACGAAAGCCCTTAATCATGAGTTCGCGATACCGCGGCGTAACTAGCTCATGACTAAAGAGTCCCGTCAAGTTCAAAAATTAGTTCGTCTAACCCCATAAAATACACGTACATGAGTAAAGACCCCTGCTTCTAAAGATATATCTACCTATAAAATTGGAACTTTAAAATACATACATGTATTTTAAAGTTCCAAGTTCATTTGTGTGTATTAATAATCGGTTCCGACCATAGATATAATAAAATATTTCTATGGTTCCGACTCTACTTTAATTTCCATTTTAACAAACAAACACGTCTAGAATTAGACTCGACTAGAAAATCAAGAATGAAATCAAGAATACAAAATTTGACATACACAAAGTTTAATAAAAACTTTAATAAACTAAGTTTGTATAAAAAGAGTTATTATAATATTAAGGAGTTTATGGATGATAATAACACCTGAGAAGGGTGATCGCTACCAAGCTTTCTAATTTGTTTTGTGTTGTTAATTTAACATAAATACGTGATTGTAAGCTATTATTTGAAAAAAAAATAGTCCCTGGGTTTCTTGCTGGTTTTTCCCAGGACAGAGGTTTTTTTGCGAACCAATGGTAAATGAAAAAGCAACTTTCAATAATTATTGTGTAATCTATATTGAATAAAAAAGTTTTTGTTTCTGTTTCAAGACGTGAAATTGGGCCCCGAATATAAAAATCGCATGCGCAGCAGTTGCATCTAACCAAATTACATCTTATTTTGCAAGCTTCTAGTGATTTTGTCTTTCCGCTAACTAAACTAGATCTCAAGCTGTTGGTTTAAGAATATTTAAAAAAAATCTTAAGAACATTTCTTCAAGATAAAGAACTAGACATAGTGATGAACTAAGAGTTAGAACTTCATTAAATATTTCTATTTCTATTCTATTTATTTTAAAAAGGTACAGCAGGAACGTACAAATAATAGAACAAAAATTAAGTAGAACCTTGAAAGATATGCTAGCATTCATTGTCGACGATAATTTTATTACAGTAGGCCATCAGCTACCTATAAGTTGCTTCATTTACTTTTTGATTCATTTAATTTTATTAACTAAATTAACCTTTATTGATCTCAATTTTTTATATAAAATTTAGAAATAAAAGAGAACGAAACTCAAGTAAACATTTAAATTTAAGCACGTTATTTTTAATATCCAACGTCCTCTTTAGAAATTTAGTAAGATAATTGACATTTACTCGAATGTGACAACCATTTTAAATCGTTCGATGCGGCTTGTAGGGAAAAGAGCGAAAATAGCTGGTTAACATTGACCACTCAATTTTCTGTAAAGTTTTTAACACTACTAATAAAGTTTTGCAACCAACGCCAAGATTTCTCACATCCAGGTGTTGATGCTTATTGCAAGTCTAACGAACTGTATTTGCATAAAAAATCAACGTGGGCAATGTTCGCAACAAGTTCAGATAATTTAGCCCGTCTTCAATATCGATGAAATGTTAGTTTAAATTTTAACATACAATAAATTTAACAAAACAAATATGTGCTCACGATCATAAAGTTACAGCAAATATCAAAATACACTAATGACCCTATAACTTTTTTTTAAATAAATTGAAATTTATGAAAAAAAAACGGGCAAAGTTGGCATGTTTCACGGTAATTAGTACGGTATCTAACGTATATGCTGCGGTTTATGTAAGTAAAGTGTAAGTAGTAAGACGTAAACGTATTGTGGGGTAAGCTCTACTGCCTACACACTAGTCAATTTGTAGTGTCAAAGAGACTGCACTGATACTTCAATGAATAAAGTGACATTATGCGTGCGATGCAAGGATTTAATATGGGCGTTTGAGATTATAAATTTTATTGCATGTTGCCGTTTTTTGTGGGTGTTTTGAAGTGCATGGTTTGTGAGTTCATAATATTCATTTCTGTTATATGGTGTCAAGAGCCTTTTTATAATAAATATAGGCAACATATAGAGCCTCTCCCTCTTCTTTGATATTTTTCAATAAGTAATTCTAGCGTATGTATATGATCGATTGTCGAGAAGTTTTTTCTAAATCCCACTTGATCAATGGGTGGATAAGCTTCTGTTGTGATACTTATTCTTCGGTTTATAACTGAAGAAAATAATTTATGAATACTTTATAAATGCTGATTTACCACGTGCTCGGCAGTGAAGGAAAACATTATGGGGAAACCAGCATGTCTAAAAAAAATATTTCGCAGACATGTGAAGTTCACCAACACGCATTAGAGCATCGCGACGGACACTTCCTTGCTCTAAAACCCTCACAGAAACCTGGGGAGGCCTGTGCCGAACACTGGGACGTATATAGGCTGTAACTTTAACTTTAACATTTACTGAAGTGTAGTTTGTGATTTCCTTTGGGTGTCCTATTTTATAAATTAAAATTATTGATTGAACATTGCGTTGGTGTTCCAGGAGTTTCTAATATGTAAAAATTAAAATTTATTTTACGGTTAAATGGTAGAGTCAAAACTCTTTGGACGTTTTTTAAGGTTTAATTTGTGATGTGATCGGAACATGCACTGTTGAGTCCTTTTATTGCTTTTATGACTTCTAATTTGGAAATTGGTGTTAAGCTTCCCTCATTTCTGTCGTATATTTTATAATTATGCATTGCTACGACTGTTGCTGTCTTAGGTTGGTAGTTGGCCCTATATAGAGTTTTATAGAATTCGGTTAGTATCATATAATGTCTTTGTGTTTAATGTTTTTGCGATTTGATTTATTTCTTCAATCTAAGTATTTCATATTTGTAGGTTCATTAAAAGCTTTTTTCGAGCTTCCTGTTTGCTTCAAATGTTTCTCTATTGTTTTGGATCTGTGTCTTGTGTAGTCATATTTAATGTGCTTGCTTACTAACTTGTAGCCAATATTTAGTTCGTCATAGATTTAATATTATGTTTTAGTATTATTTAGCTTCTGTCTTCTCTTAATAAGCACAACAATGTGCTCT